AGTCAGCAGGTTTAGAGATAGAAAGTGGAGTAGGAGCTGCGCGGAGCTGAGGAGTTGTTTCATGGGGACAGAGCTCAGTTTTGGAAGATGGAAAGGGTGGGCAGAGCTGATGGCTACACGACCATGCGAACGCACTTAACGCTACTGACCCTCACACCACAAGTGGCCAAGGTGGGGCTGGAGTGTGGCTCAGTGGTGAGCACTCACCTAACACGCACAGGCCCTGGGTTCGGTCCTTAGTCCTGCAGAAACAAAATACCACCCCGCCATAGCAACAGAAGGCTTAAGTGGTAAACTTTGCATTGTCTTTCACCTCAGTCATAGCAAGGAGAAGAAGGTTGCATATTCTCTGCTGCTGCGGAACCTTTCCCACACTTTCTTGCCCCGCCCTAGTGGGGTGCTTCCAGCAGTGTAGGGAGCCCCAGAGATAAAGACTGGGTGAGTCCTTTCCTGGCAGGCAGCTCCTGCGCATCACTCTGTAGCAGAAGTGTCTTTCCCTGGCTCTAACACTTTCTGGATTTCAGTTTTCTCGCCTCTGTTCTCTCCTCTGCTTTGGCTCGGCATAAACATGGAGCTTCAAGGAAATGTTACATTTTCCTCTGTAAATCCAAACTTACAAGGGGAATGACGAAGTATTATCACCTCATTCCCCCCTCCCCAGGCTTTGCTGCATAATTAATTACAGTGGGTTGGCCTCCAAGGCAACCTCAGATGAACTGTGTCTGTGTTGTGCAACTTGACCTTGCTTGTTCGTGCAGGATTGGCGAGGGTGAATACATCCTCCTGTGGGAGCAGCTCACACGTGAGTGGTGCGCCCGTTCCAGAGCTGGGAGGTATGGGCCAGGGGTGAAGGCATACGAGTGGTGTCATGGGGCCCTAGGTGTTTGCAAATCTTCTCTGGGTTGGGGGGATGCCCTGCTTTGTTTGGCTCTTGGAAAATGACCAGGAAGCAAGGTTTGACTCCCAGGAAAGGGTTGGAGGGGGGACTAGGCTCAGCTAGGGTGCCTTCATTGGAGGAACAGAAACCGGTTCCTCTCTGAGTGGGAAGAGGCTCTTTAGCAGCAGTAAGAGGCTGAAATCTGATGGAAGGTGAAGAGATTCAATCTTCCCTGCATCAGTCACCTGGGACGTCATCAGACTCAAACCGATTAGGAAATTCACATCGAAAGCATCATTTATAATGGACCAAAATCATAGAAAACATTTGGCCTGGAGGGAGGTACAAACAGCATTTCTACCTAAGCCAGAATCTTTCATGATTTTCCCTCCTCCTTCATGGTGTTTGACAACCCTGTCTTCTCCCCAAGACTGACCATTAGGCTAATTAGTGGCTAATCAATGTTTAATTAAAACCTAGCCATTAATTATAGGAAGTGCCATGGCAACTCAAGAATCGAATGTGGTTGCAGGAAGGATCAGGTTTCCTCAGCTTGCCTGGTAACCCAAGCAGAAGGTTTTCTTGTGTCTGTCATTCCTTCCTTTTACTGTGGCTTGGGAAGAGTCTGCCGGTCTGGGGAGGAATGGAGAGAGAGAGAGAGAGCAGGGCCTGAATGGATTGCTATCAGTATCTCTATTTCTAGTCTGTCACTGGTTTTCTCCACGCACTCCACAGCTTTCCCCATAGTTTTACCGTTGCTTTTTCCATGCCCCAAATTTAATCCTTTTTTTTTTCTCTTGAGTCCTTTATTGGATTTTCACACATTTTGCATTTAGGTGAACCTGTTTCTATGAACAGGTCCTAGATCAGTGGTTCTTAACCCTGGTTGCATACTAGAATCGCCCAGGTAAAAAGATTCTAGTAGACACCAGGGATAAAGGAATAGACCAATACAGGGAACAGAGACCCCGGCACATATTGGCCTATTAGCGCACAACTGACAAGTGACAGAGATGGCACTGTGGATGAGGACAGCCGTGACCTGTACATACAGGTGCCAGGCTATCTGAAAAGCGACTGGAGAACAAATAAAAAGCGTGATCCCTACCTCACACCATACATAAAAAAATCAATTTTACCTTCTAGAAGGCAGCCCAGAAGAATATCTAATACATCTTCGTGTTTCAGAGGGCACTCACTTTAAAAGACAAAGTTGACACTTGGACTCTATTAGCTTCTGCTCATCAAAATGATGATGAGAGGGGCCGGGGATTTAGCTCAGTGGCACAGCACCTGCTGGGCAAGCTCAAGGTCCTGAGTTTGATCCCTGGTAACAAACAAACAAACAAACATGTACGATGAGAGTGAAAGGTAAGCACAGAATGAGAAGGTATTTGCAACATGCAGGAGCAGAAAAGGGCTCTTAGAATAATCAGAGAGCATTAAATGAGCATCATTCATCAGCCATCAGGGGAATATAAACAGAGACACTAGGGTACGCTCACCAAAATAGCTACATGAATGGGTTGGCAATTTCAAGAGCTGGAGAAGACACGGAACACCAGAATGTTCATATAGTGCAGGTAGGAACTGAAACAACAGTGCTGGAATCTCTTTAGCAGACTCCTTATAAGCTGAATGTGTGCCTCCCCGAGACCCAGCTGCTTGATTCCCAGATAGCCCCCACCAGGAGCACTTGCACAGGTGCCCCAGGATGATGCACCAGGAGGTCACAGCAGCACTGTGTCACAGCTTTAGACTGGAAGCCACCCACACCAAGCAACAGTAGCATGGCCAAATAAGTTGTGCTGAATTTATACCCTGGTTATGAGACAGTGCTTCTACACACAGTGAACCTCACAATGGCAATATGGAGACAGAGAATCCAGGTGTTCCATTTCTGTGAAGCTTGGGAGCAGGAAATGTGGAAATCTTGGACGTGGTTTCCTTTGGGATAGTGATGGGGGACATGAGGCCATTTGAGGACCATTAATGTTCTATTTCTTGATCCAGGTGGGGAGTTGCATGGAGTGCCTACTTCATGACTAATCAGTGAGCATATCCTTACGGTTTCTGTATTCTTGTGCATATGTGTTATTTTCTTAAAATTAAAGAGGAGCAATACCAAATGCAAAACCCAGGGCTAGTCCAGAATAGTTAAGATGGAGTCTCTAGGAAGTGGGGAGGCTCTGCCTAGGGTGGCTTTTAGAGTTTGTCTCGATGGTGGCCTGATGTGTGTAGGGTCAGTGCTCCCATGGCCTGCCCTTGCTTGCCCCTTGCCTACCTAGTAAACTTCTTTCCTTTCTGGAATGTGAGAGGTACTTGCTGGCCCTAATCTTTTTTTTTTCCTCATGGAGTTTATTGGTACATTTAGGGATACAGTACAATTACATTCATTATTGGGATCTTGTACCTTTACATGACAGGTTTTGGTTCTCATTTTTCCCCCTTGTCCCTGCCCTCCCTTCACCCCCTCTTCCCCTCCCCATTTACAAACATTTTATTTCCATTTTCTCATATTTTTTTCTTTTCCCTTATTACCTTTCCTCCACCCTTCCCACTTTCCCTACACCTTTAGCCCTTTTCTTCCTGTTTCACATTGTCAATTATCTCATTAGGATCTTATGTACTATTATAGTTTTTCACACCAGAGAAACTATTCAGTATTTACACACGTGTGACTTATGTATTTCACTTAGGAGTATATCCTCAATAGGTATCCATTTTCCTATGAATGAATCTAATTTCTCATTCTTTATGGCCGAGTAGTAGTCCATTTTATAGAAAAACCACCTCTTCTTTATCCAGTTCCCAACTAATGGGCAAATGGGCTGTTTCCAAGTTTTAGCTATTACAAACTGTGTTGGCCCTAATCTTTACACTTGCTGGTCTCTGAGCTTGAGCTACTCTCTCCTAGGTAGTTCTTTCAACTCTCTCTGAAAATGACCTCCCCTGGCTCATCTATCAAAAATGGGCCTCTTGCTATAGATACTCTGATGTATCACTGTATTGATTCTTTTGCTATCCTAGAAACAATGTTCTGTGTTCATCAAATTCCATTCCTTTTGCTAGGAAGGTTTAAAGGAAGACCACTTTTCCCATTCTCTCTTTAAGTTAGGTTGGGACCAATGGGCTGCAAACAGAAAATGACACATAGCACTTCTAGGCTTTGGTACAGAACCTTGAGTGACTTTCCAAATTCTCTGTGCATATAGCAACCACTCGAGTAGAAAGAGTGCCAGGGTATGAGGAGCCTGGATATTGGTATTATCATAGGGAAGCCAAAAAGAGCTGCACAAACCATGTTGCACTGTGATGTAAATGAAAAGTAAACCTTTCAAGTTAGCCACTGAATTCCCAGAGGTGGTTACTGCTGCAGAACTTCGACCATACTGACTAATGTAGCACTCATCACAGTCTGAGATTATCTTGCTGAATGAGTTTTTCTGCAGCTTTCTCTTCTATCTCTGTCTAGAAGGCAAACTCTTGTTACAACTGCATTCTCAGGGTCTGTGAGTGCAGTGCCTGTCACATAGTAGGAGCTCAGTAAAATTCTACAGAGGCAACAAGCAAAATGCAGCCCTAGTTGCCATGCCGGGGGGATCACGGAGCCTGAGACAATGTTGTGAGCGGGGGAGGTGTGGCCCAATGGAGGGTATGAAATTCTGTGGGCTGCAGTATGGACAAATGATCCTCCTATCAGTAGTTCTGACTCCACAGGAGTACATCAAGGCTTGCATGACAGCACGTTTGTAAACCACCTGCCATTTTGCAGGGCAGGTCGTAGGCAGGTGATACTTTTTCTTTCTCCAGGTGCTTACAGTAATCAGACAGTAGCACATTCATGTGGGTCAGAGGTGCAGAGTGTAGCCATGAGGGAACTACAAGCTCAGCGCAGGGATTGATGTTTCCATGGCTGGAGGATGATGCACTTCCGGGGGTGGGGCCGGGGCGGGGCCAGGCAGTAGCTCGGGTTCCTGGGAAGCACCTCCTGGAGAAGAGGGAGGTGGGACTTGGCGCTTTCTGCTGGAAGAGCACGCTGGCCTGGGTAACACCCTATGAATCTGTCACTGGAGAGTCTCCAGGCCCTCTGAAGCTCTGCCTTCCTCTACCCACCACCCAGTCCAGCCTGTCCGAACAGCAGGTCCATCCCCTCACACTGCTGGGTTTCACTCTTTCCGGGAAGTCTGCATTTTTAGAGATGCTTGGAGACACTGCTGCACTGGACAAGAAGATCGTCAGTACTCCGCGGCAAAGTCACGTGCGGGGTCTGTTCTCCTCTGGCTGCTACAGGAGCAGAGAAGCAGAAGGTGACCTCTGACCTTTGAGCAAGGAAAGCAGCACGTGCCCATCCCACTTCCAGGCAGCGCTCAGGTACAGCCTGGCTTCCTCTTGCGTGGAGCCCCTGTTTCCCTGCTCACGACCAGGGTGGGCCTGGGAGGGGACAGGGTGCCTGCACAGCTGTGCAGGTAGTAAAGGTGCGGAGAGTAGGCCGTGAGGTGTCCAGTCCTGGGGACCCCTTGGGCATCTGGAGAAGTGAGCGGACTCCTCAGGATAATGGCTTCAAACAGAGAAGAAAGTATTGAAGAATAGTTAACAACATAGTTAGAAAGTGAGATGTTAAAATATATATGCTTCTTTTCTATTGAGGTGAAACTCATATCACATTACACCCTGGCTGTCCGAGGCCTGCAGCCTCTGGTCCTGGCCTGGTGACTTTCCAGGATCCCGAGGAGCGACTTCCGGCTGAGCCCTGTGCTTCTATGGCCATTCCCTGTGCTGCCCTGGCTCCCTGGGGTCACCTCCCTAGGCAGAAAGCGCCCGGTTGGCCGTGAAAGGAGGAAGAGTGAGCCGATGCGACCCCACCACTGGGACAGTGTGGCTGTGACACAGCAGCAGAGGAAGGACCCGGACACACCCGCAGGAAGGACAGACGACATAGATGACCCTCGTGCTCCGTCGTCCTGCAGAGCTGATGGGGAGGGGTGGGAGAGGGCGTGAGTTCCTCTGGGGGAGGCGGACGTTTTGGAGGTAGACAGGCGGAGATTGCGCACCATCCTGAACTCGCTAAACGTCCCCGAGGGTTCACTTTGAAATGGTTCAGCCTGCGATATGTGTGTTTCATTTCAATTGGAGACAGCCCAGCGTTCCTGTCTGGCGGCTGGGAGCTGAGACCTGAGTTCCCCCCTCCCTTTTCCTGAGCTGCCCACAGCCATGCCTAAGGAGACCGGGAGGACCCGGGTGACTGCGCCTTCCCCACCTTTCTGCCCTTGCTGGCTCCGGACCTGGTGTTGAGACGGCTTCCTCTGCTGCACGTTCTGTCCTGTAGCCCCGAGCCAGCGGGCCCACGCCCGCAGCAGGCCACTGCCCTTCTCTCCCGACTGCGGTGGCCACCTGTGCTCTGGAACAGGGTTCCTGCCAGCTACAGAAAACCGGTACCAACGCAGCTTTACCCGTCACCCGTGCCTGGTGTCTGGGCTCCCACCTGGGCCCTCGCCAGCCTCCAGGGGCACCAGCCAGGTAGGGTGTATGGAGGACACATCCAGGGAGAGGCAGGACAGACAGATTCCTAGAGAGGGCGAGAAGGTGGAGGAGAAGAGAGAGAAGAGAGAGGAGGCACTGCCCACACGAGGCCCCGGGCGCGGACGGTCTCCCAACTCTCCCTCTTAGGAGCCTTGAGTGTGCGTCCTTCCCTTTTATGGCAGCGTGTTCTGGGCCTGACAAAGCCTCGAGTGCAGCAGGTCCCTCACTGCCTGGGTTGGTGCCCAAGGCCCAGGCGCTCCTCATCGACTTCGGGAAAGACTGTTCTTACCTCGGAAGGCATTCTGCTCCTGTGGTCTCGGCGATCTCTGCCCAGGGCCTGCCCCTGTGTCCTGGGGGAGTCTCGGCCCACAGCCTTCTTCCTGAGAGCTGAGGATGGCCTTAAAAAGCAGGATCACGGCGTGCTCTTGGCCGGCACTCATCGGGAGCCTTGCTATGGCCCTGCGTGCAGAACTGTCGGGTGCACCTCTGGGGTCCAGCCTGAGCGTGTGTGGCTCGGACCTTGTCGTGTGCTGAGGGTGTGAGGGCAGGGAGGAGCTTGGAGGTTTAAAGATCCCCTGCTACCTGCCTCCTGGGTGCAGGACCGGCCCCTTCTGAGCCTCCCATTTGTGACGTGGTTGTCTCCTCCTCATCCCTTCACTCCCCTCAATTCTTCTTTCTCTGTCCAAGAGCGCTGAAGAGCCGCTGAAGGATGCTGAGCTGGAAGTAAACTGCGTGCCCAGTGATATAATTTTAACAGTCGCGATATCACGCTCAGACCTGTCCTTTGAAGAGACTACCTTCAGAGGGGCATGGTTGTGTACCTGCAATCCCAGCACTCTAGGAGGCTGAGGCAGGAGGACTGCAAGTTAGAGCCCAGTCTGGACAACTTTGAAATTCACCAAGACCCTGGCTCAAAACAACAAGAAGAACAACAGTGACAGCAAAATGCCCTTCGTCTGCTTTACTGGGAGAGGGCAGAGGGAGGGGACAGGTGAAGCCAGAACAGAAGTCAGCACTGTAGCTTGCTGCCTGTTTATTGTGCTACAATAAAGTTTTATTGGAACACAATTGTGTCCATTTCTTTATGCACCACTGATGGGTAAGAGACATGAGGGCGGGTTGAAAAGCTGCCTCTGAGGTGCAGCCAGTGTGGCCTGAAATGTGTAACGTATATTTCGTGGCTTTTACAGAAGGTCTACTGACCCAGGTTCAGAGCCACCTTGGCAAAGGGCTGCCGGGTAAGCAGAGCCAGGGTGGCTGTGGCTGCAGGGAGCTCGTGCAGGGAGACTCCAGGGAGCAGGACTGGGGATGCCCATAGAAGGCGTGGTTGGTCTCTATCCTCTGAGAAGGTAGAAAAGGGCCAGGGGTGGGTGGGGCTGGGGCAAGAGGGCAAGGCTGGCTTCTGTGATCACCTGCAGTGGGAGAGGGTGAGGCTCCAGCTGAGTCGGGGTATTGGCAGGGACACTGGCCTCAAGGGGCCCCATGGGTCCTCACTGAGATGTGGAAGTTGCTTGTCTTCCTGCCAGGGGGCAGTGAGAGCCACTTCCCTAGGTGGCCTGTCCCCAGCCAGGGTGTTGCTACTCCCAGCTTCTCTGTCACACCTTCTACGCTGATGTGG